CTGCGTCATTCTTACAACTATGACGCTTTCTTAACAACGGGCTCTGCCACGAGCGACTTCAAATTTATAAAATCGTACAACGAGAATACCTTACCACTTGACCAGATTCATCAACCCACAAGCAAAGATCAAGAAGAGCAACGGGTTAAGGACGTAGAGGAATCCTGTCAGGTATTTATCATGATTTATATATTTTGAAAAATTAAACTATTCAGTAGGCTATTTTGTGGTTTTACGTTCGTGTGATCAAAGTTTTTTTTTTGTTTTTCCATCACTTTGATCGATTTAACATTCCTGTATTCCATTACTAGTAAGAAGGAGAAAGTAAATATCCGACGTTCCGGTGTTTCTACCTATTTCTCTGTCGATTCAGAAAGGTTGTGATGAATACCGTTTGGTTATTTGCAAATACAAGTTGGCATAATGACGTGATCATTTTAATCCCTTTATGGAATGTGCTTTTACAGCTTCCGGATACAAGGTATATATTGATTTAATGTCTTCAAAACTATCTGACTTCATCTGGACATTTTATGATTTTAGTGTCGTTTCTCATCTCCCATTTTAATGCTTTTTTGCTGTACCAACGATGGAAAAATTGTATATTATACTATCCAACAGAGAGGTATTATAAATCCTATAGTGACGTTAGGGTATAGAGGAAATAAAAATATTAAAACCAGGCCTGTATAGATTACGGATGTTTAATATATATACTGTATATAATTGCAGGGTATTTTAAATAAATCCAATCGACGTTCTTGTAAAAATATTCAACGCGACCACGGTGGATGGTCGCGCAATAGGATTATCTGAGTTTTTTTTTAAATTATACACGATTTTATACATATGGTCTATGTATGGTCTGTATATACAGTACGTTATATACGTCTACGTATATAATTTGCAATATACAGGATAGAATTTGTAACTGTGTTGGTGTGTCGTGGTAGGATGAGAAAGACGAATTTTAATTCGAACCCTGAAAATGAAAAGCATGCATAAGCGGGCTGTAAAGCTTAAAATGTTTGGCGTTTCCACTTGAATTTTTAGATTCAACTAGTTATTAACCCCTGGTTGTTCCTAAGTATATATAATGATTTTTAAAAACTGGTGTAACACTTTAGATGCGTT